TGTTGTTTCGTATTAGGAATCTCTTACTGTTCTCTCACGCACTCCATGCTAATTACTTTGACAATACATAGAAAAAATATGCGTTAGAGGGGACTTTGTGAAATTGGAAAGACAGAAAAATAATGCTTGGGTTTTAAGAAATCAATTTAATTAAAAGCTAGTCTTGAAAAATTTGATAAATGATAAGATGTAAATATTAATTAAAAAGGTTTGACCAAAAAACTTTAAAAAGTTATAATTATATAGAGAGTGTCTTAATGAGAGAATGACATATAAATCTTTCTAAAATAGAAAAATAACATTTTGGTCTTGCAAAATGTAAGATCTCAAGGGACTTCTTTAAGATTAAATCTCCATTAAAATTACTCTAATACCCCTCTATAATTTAAAAATTTATGATTTTTTTAAATTATTTTATCATTGATGAAATCAAACTTGCAAATACTTATATCAAACTTTACAAGCTATATAAAAGTAGTTAGATTTTGCTAATAAAAAGTTGTAATTTTTTAAATTATTTTAGATATTGGTATAATCAAACTTGTAAATACTTATACCAAAGTTGTAAATAATATAAAATTAGTTGGACTTTGCTTATTGAAAAAAATTACTGATAGAAAATTTTGACTTCCTAAATCGCTTTAGTTATTGGTAAAACTAAACTTACGAATACTTATACTAAACCTGTGAACCATATAAAATTAGTTGTTGATTAGTGTTAAAGTAATTTCACACAAAAATTTAATCTCAAAGAAGTCCTTTAGGACCTAATTATGATTATCACATCTTGCGGGATCAATTTACCCTCTTAATTTTCCTGATCTTTGTCAATTTACTATTGATACAATGTCTTAAATTTATCAATTTGCCCTTATATACAAGACTTATATACTTGCCCTTATATATATCACATTTCACAAAATCCGGTGGCTGAAGCTCTAGCAGGTGACAATACTTTTCTTAGAATTCCAATCGGCAGGTGAAGGGTTACCAAAAAAAATCAACACCCCTTGATTACATGTAATTATCAAGGATTACATGTAAACTCAACAATTAAAGAGTGGAAGGATTTTGACTTAAGATTCAAGAGTTCTGACTTAGATGCAAGGCTTTTGGCTTAAGGTGGAAGGGTTATGACTTGAGTGCAAGACTGCTGGCTTAAGATGCAAAGGGTCTGGCTTGCGTGTAAGGGGTCTGGCTTAGGGTGCAAGGCTTTTGGTTTGAGTATAAGAGATCTAGCTTAGGGTGCAATGGATCTGGCTTAGGATGCACGTATTTTAACTTAGGTGTAAAGCTTATGGCTTGGACAATTACATGTAATATCTTGTGAATTACATGTAAATCAAATACACAGAGAACACCTACTGTCAATGATCTTGTAATTAATTGAAAATGACAAATAATTACATGTAAATCAATATAGAAAAAAATTCGCAAGCATTCCTGAGGAATAATTTATATGTAATCTCTAGTAAATTACATGCAAATCAAACACATAAGCACACCCTTGTTAATCCCCTAGAATTACATAAAAATGAATATGGATTACATGTAAATCAATATGGAAAAAAATTGTGAGCATGCTTGAGGATCTAGTGGATTACATGTAAATTAAACACATGAAGAGCACACCATTGCCAATCTCTCAGAATTATATAAAAATGACTATAAATTACGTGTAAATCAATATGTGATAAAACTCATGAGTATAACTAATGAATGATTTACATGTAATCACTAGTGGATTACATGTAAGTCAAACACACAGAGAGCACACCCTATCAATACTCCTTAATTGCATGAAAATAATTACGGATTATATGTAAATCAATATATGAAGAAATTCATGAGCATGCGTGAGAAATAATTTACGTGTAAATTAAACACAGAGAGCACACTATTGTCAGTACCCCTGAATTATATAAAAATGACTATGAATTACATGAAAATGACTAAACTAGGAGTTTTACACCTTAAACCACTTAAACCAGATCTCTTGCATCCAAGCCATACCCCTTACACTCTAAGCCATAAACTTTGCATCTAAGTCATACCTCTTGTACCTAAACCAGAACATTCACATCCAACCCAGAATCCTAACACTCTAAGCCAAAATCTTGCACCCTCTAGATCCAGTACCCCAAATCAAAGAATATATTATAGGGAGTAAGAACAACATCATACCCATGTTAAATTACATCCTACCTTATACAAAAAATAAATAAGGAAACACTCACAATAAGTTATCTTTTTTTAATTATTATACATTATATAGCAAGCTATGTTAAAATGTAACATGGAGGACAACTGAATTCTCAAAAAAACAAATAAATGTAAAGATTGAGAATGAACAACAATAATTTCAATAAAAGAACATTAATTCCATTAGGTTTAGTTTATCTTTCTGTTAAGTATAATTAAAATGATAAATAAAGATCATAAGTCATCCTATATTAAAAAATATACCATGAGGGGTCAAGAACAATGATATACCCATGTTAAACTATATCCTACCCTATACAAAAATAAATAAATAAATAAGGGGGTAGTCATAAGTACACTTTAAAGTACAATCACAATTTGATTCAATATTCCAAGGGAATCCCCTAATCAGTAATTCCTTGTAGCTCACTTAATTTATGATATACATATAAGAGCTTCTTAGCTTGAACTTATTTTTTTCTCCTTCACAATCAAAACCTTATGCTTTGGTGCGTCAAAAACATTATGCCTGAAATGAAAATTAATATCCATCACAAGTAAGCCATTCAAGCATTAATATACAATGTCCACAAAATTACTGAACATGAAACATACTTAAACATCCATGTGGCACTTAAAGTTGAAAAGAAATGGAAATTTGAGGGGAAATCAAAGGACATCAAACACATATTTAAAATTAATTTCAAGCTCAGTTTCATGTCTATCAAAAAAGAAAATGAGCACATAATAAATAGACAATGGCACTTTCACATAGATATGCACACACTTCCACATTTTAGATTTTTCTTTTGCTTTTAATCTCCGAGAGTGACATGCACCAAAACCAATAAGTATAAGTACTTTTTTAAAGTATGTGCATAAGATTGTGATGTTAGTCCTAAGACAATCACAATTAGCCCCTCATTTTAGGCAAAAGCTAATAATGGAAGAAAAATCATCTATACATATGGTGAGATTTTCATGCTGATATGAAGTGTAAAATAGAATTACTTAGAAGTAAGAAAATCAAATGAAATAAAAACTGATAAAATTTATATTGCAATTTCAGATATGTTACATTGTTTTTTTTATTTGGGATGAAATATCATGTGTTTTAATATCCAATTATTTATCAAGTTTGTGATTAAAAGCACGGAAAAACATAAATTTTAAGGTATAAAACATCAACTATACTTCTACTAGAATAGTCAACACCATAATTATTTTCAAGTTTTAAATATTGTTAAGTATTTTCTCAAAATAATTCACTTTAAGTGCCTTCTACTGAGGTAGTAGGCTATGCAAATAGATCATGTTGTAGATTTTGGTTCCATTAAGCAACACTTTCATGTTTGGCAGCTAAGTGAACAAAATATGATAAAATTTTAAATAACAAACTTCAATTCAAATATCACAACCTCTTAAAAGGACTACACTAGCTATGTTCTTCCTTTTTACAACACGTAGCATTCATAGGATGTGAAACTAGAATCTTAATTATTTCTTTGGACAACTCATTAACATCAACTACAATATGGCTTGCTTCTTTAAAATCATCTAAAGCTTCTACTTTTAAAAGTAAGTGGTTCCTGATATGTTTCCACTCAACTTTGGTCCTTTGACAACCACACCACATTTATGTTCTATTGCATACCTATGAGAAATATACCCCCTAAAATAAAAAAATAAAATAAGTTATTACTTTTATTGAACAACTCTACATTAACTTTTGAATTTTAATGTTTCAGTCACTCATTAATCAACCTAAGGGTTAAGAGAAAATAAAATATTAAACAAAATCCTTAAACTAGATAAAAAAAGAATAAAAACCAACCACATAAGACTCCCCACTCCAAAACAAAATTGAGTTTATTAATACATAGAACTATGTTGTTATTAGAAGATATGTTTGAAGAGGAAGATATGGAAAAGGATGCATCTGTCTATATAAAGTAATTGCATTCCATGAGAATTAAATGTAAAAAATAGCAATTCTAGGTATCACCATCAACAACAAATCAAAAGGATCGATTTTGGGCAGCGATTGTGGTAGGATAAAGCATTAGTTAGCAGTAGCAAAATTTAAATGTCAAGCATAAGTAGATCTAGCATTCAAACAGCAAAATGATAAGTATATATGTGAATGATGGATGACATGAGAAAGAGTAGCGATGGTGGAAGAAGGAGTAACAAGGCGGAAGGCAAGGAAGACAAGGGACAACTTCAAGAGAAGGATTGACAATGGAAGGTGGACCGGTCAAGAGCGAGAATGGATTTCTAATGCCATGCGTTAACGTGATAAAGAGTGAGGAAATATCCAGGCTAAAGGTACTAGGGCATTGCATTCATTTAAACTAATTGCTTTATAGATAAAATATTTAGCTTGGTTCTTAAATTTAATTTTGTCCTTGAGCATAATTTCTAGTCTAATCAGGTCTTTTTATCAATTTTCTCAAAAAATATTTCTTCTGTTAAAATATGAAAGACATTTTTAAGCAAATTTTATCTCAATAAAATAGTTACTTACTTTTAAACTTACACTATTTTTATATTTTTATTTTTATTTAATAGTGTGTTTTAGTGATTTATTTATTAAGAAATTTTTTTAAAAATAACGTCTTATATTTTTAAGGTGTTAGTTACTTTGAAAAGAAAAATACTTTATCAAATAATTTAAAGCGGTCGGTGGTTCTCAAAAATGTACCATTACCCTTTAATAAAATGTTAGTTTAAGGGCTGACCGGCGGAGTGAAGTCCCATGGATGATGGACCCATGCCCTTTCTCACTCTTCCTAACTCCAATTCTACAGAGAGAGGGAGAGAGAGACGACTCCCCGTGCGAGTGCGAGGGTTTGTTTGCATCCGATCCTTCGCCGAATTGGGGTTTCAAATCAAAAGCCCCTCCCTCTCTCTCTTTGTCGTATGTCGCAAGTCATGAGGTCATATACACATGAAATTGGGTTGCGTCTTTGCTAAAATCCAAACGCCGTTGGGAATCTAATAATCTCTCTCTCTTCAAAATGCGCCATTCCTCGTTTCTTTATGTCCTCCCTCTATCCGCCATGCATCTCTTTCTCTTCCTTCTTTTCTTTCCCCTCCCTGCTCCTTCCCTCTCTGTTATTTCCTCTTGATTCATGTTCTCCTTTCTTCTTTTCCATCGCTTCATGATCGTCCCCAATTCCCAAGTTTTTCTCTCCCACAAACATCTCTGCGACATGGAACGCTTCGACGTCTTGCTAAGATCTTCCCCTGATGAGACCGTGCCGGGCCCATCAGAAGACGCTGACCCTCATCAGAACCGCAACGACAAACGTCGACGTCCTTCCCTTCCTCTGAGGATCAAAATTCCCACGACATCGTCGTTCGAGGAAGAAGGCCGTGATGAGGGCTTCAAGACTCCGACGTCTGCCATTCACAAGATATCGGAGATCCCGCAGTGTCCGCCTGCACCGAGAAAGCCGAAATCATTTCCATCCAGGAAACGAAGAGCTTCGCGTCCGGTGATCCTGCTCGATCTGTCCAGAGAGATCGATTCTTTGTTCCCCGGATCCGTTGTGTTTGATTTTGGCGGTCAGATAAAGAAGGTCAAGAGCTGAATGTAATGAAATTTCCTAGACTATATACTACACGGGTGGTAGTATTCCCTGGATGGATTTGTAGAAAGTCCCATTTTTTATTAGATCTCCATGTATATCCTGTGGAATGCATCAGCCTGGTTATGGTTATGTACTTAATATATATATATATATATATATTGCCTATTTACTGATGCAGTTCCCATTTAGGGGCGAGTGAATGGAACAGAGTGAGATGTGGAATATCATGAGCATGAATCTGAGATTTTGAGGAGGGAAGGGAAAGTACAATGATGTGATGTATAGAGGTGAGTGAAGAAGTGGGATGCATAGGATTCGGGGTTCGAAGGGGTGGCGTTGATGCATTGACTTTGAGGAGAGAAATGAAAGTGAGCATCATTTTGACTTTGCAGGAGGGGCAGGGAACTAATCGGGTCTTAATTAGCATCGTTTTCTGGCCGGGCAGATGCAGGTGCGAACTGCAAAAACCCAGGCCGTGAGATATTCCTTTTGGATGACTGACACTCACTACAAACAGTACTGTCATCTTAAGATATTCCAATATCACTCACTTCGAGGCTGTCATATTTACCACGCTCTTATTCCTTTTTTTTTTTTCCCCATTCTCCCATCAAAATTATCAACATTTAACATGATATGGAAATAGTTTGCAGTAATAATTTAAAATCTCATGGTGTATTATCTTATAGAAAAATATTGATTGAAATTTTCTTATAATTAAAAAAAATTAATTCATAAATCAATCACGTCTTAAAAATATAAATGGTTTATTTCTTTAAATAAATTTTTAAAAACTTAAATGACACAATCCTAATTGATTTAATATTTCAAATTGATGGATCATATTTTTAATGGGTATATTTTATTCTTATTTAAAATTAAGCAAGATAAACTAATTTTTTAAAATTTAAATTTAATTTTAAAATAAAATAAACTAATTTCTTAAACTTAAAAAAGAATATTAATTAAACTAGTTGAACTTATGAGCCTAAGTAGCTCAGGTTAAGTCTAATATATTAATAGTCTTTTTTAGATCTTTTAAAACTTCATTTGCCTTTAGAACGCCTTAATCGTATAACATATTTTTAATTAATGAATTCAAGGTTTCTTTCATTCTTTTAACTTTAAATCTAATCATTAGTCCTTTAATGCCTTGTAATGTATTGAAGGGTACTAAATGTTAGATTCTAACTCATCCCTTAATTTTCATAACAACATTACCATATTTGCACATAGCACTCCACGTCTCCACGTTCCTCCATCTTCCAGACAATATTTTCTAAATAATTTGGACCCATTGTGGCTTGGTTTTTTTTTTTTTTGGGTGTAGAGTTAACATCCATACAGGTTTTAATTTTTGTAGAGATTAATTACTGTATCGTGTGCATATCTAATGTTTGAGAACGAAGTAATCAAACCATGGGAATTATGTATTTTTATAAATATAAAATTACACTGCTTAAACCAGTTACTTTATGAAGGGAAAAGGAACCACCGGATCTCAGCTTTCTAATGAAATAAAAATCCAGTGGCTGAACGTTGAATCAAGAGCTCGACGCTGCAAGATATCTCCAAAAGGTTTCGGCCCAGGTATGCCATGGTCTGGTCAAAGTGGTCAGTCCAATTGGTGTGTTCTACCATTAGGGCACTCAATAAAGCACCTATGTTAAGATCACCCTTTTCAATCAATATAATAACACAAAACACAAATAAATTTCTCAAGAAAATTACATGTATTAGTCTCTACTAATGAAATGAAGCACATCTCTGGAAAGTCAAAGTTGTATAACAGGGAAATTAACAAGAAGAAGAGATATCGCAGAAGAGGAAGAAATATTCAGGAAGAAGGGAAGGAGACTTGGAGGAAACAAGCTTCAACAAAATTGTTTGATGCCTATCCGCGGGTTTTCTCCATCCTTTTACTGCCAGATTCATGCCCTAACTTCCACTATCTTCAAGCCCATTGAAATAAGTTTTGGGCCCAATATATCTATTGGACCCATCCATAACAAAATCAAATCAATTATGAGCAGAAGTAAGATGGCCCATTTTTTTTTTTTTTTGAGAGAAACTTTTCTCTTACGAGTTTGAAGGGTAAGTGCACTTGGTGCACTACCTCAGTGACAAAGTGATCCCCTTGTATAGAGGAGATGGCAGGTTAAATTCTCCATAGGGCTAGTAGGTAAATGCTTTTTACCTTGCAAAGCACAACCTTGGACAGGGGACCGAAGTGGCTGTTGATGGTGTGAGCATCAGAGACATTTGGGGCCAAACCCTGACTTCATGGTTTCATTAATAATAGCTTGTGTATCTAATTTCCACCACTCTATGATTTCATTAATAAGAGCTTATGTATCTAATTTGCACCATTCACCTGACGCAAATTAAGGTAAAATGAGATTTATGAGTTGTGATTTCCGTCCGTTTGACCATTGAGCAGGGAAAAAAGGAAAAGGTGGTAGAACTAACCCAATCAGATAATTTGTTGTTCCATGCGGGGTTTTGGAAAAGGGTAAGGAACCCCAAGCTTAGTTTTTTTTTAATAGCCCTAAGCTTAGTTAGGCATGGTGTCTGTGGCTCCATTGACAGTGGCCCTGAGCCAGAGGATGTGTGCATGCCCAAATAGTGCACCTCTCTGGCCGGTGAGGGTAAAGTGGTACACATAAACTTGGCCTGGTTGATTTAGGCACTGGGTTACTTATGCTGGCCCATCAGCCCAGCCCGTCCTCAACAATCTGACACTATGCCTAAAACCAAAATTTTTTTAAAATCTTGAAAATTCTTAATTTCTGAAGTTAGTTTGATTTATAAAAAAACTATAATCCAAATCAATCATGAAGATGTTGATAAGATCTGTGACTAATATGTTTGCATATAGAGAGAATTACTTTCGGTTGTCATTTTCTTCTCTTGAGATCAGTTATCAATGAATCTAAAAGTAATTAATTATCGTTAGTAGAGTTTATGTGTAATTCTCCCTTTCATATATCTACTTTTATTAGTTTTCGTGTGAAAAAATTCTGTAGATAGGATAATCTAATTTTTTTGATTAGAAAATTTAATAAAAATATTAAAATATTGATTTTTTTTACTTTGACTAGCAAAAGATTGATGTTGAATCAGTAATTCAAGTAGCCCTATCTGACCACCTTAACCAGAACAGCACCACCTTCCTTAGCATAGATGGCAAGACCAGGTTACTGTCCGTTGAACTGTTGAAGAATACTATGGGCCTGGTTCAATCAAACGAACATGTCATGTAGACATTTACTAATGTGCTTTGCTACCGTTCATGCCTTGGAAATAAGGCAGGACTAGCAAATGTGGCTTACAGAGATAAACGTGGACAAATAGTTTATGATAATAAATAACAAAATACAGCTAAAATTATGAAATAGGTGTAGGTACAAGACCCACAAATGATAAATGTGAAAACAAATCTCACAAAAATTAAACTAATTAGTCATTAATCATAATACTATGGACTAATAAAATATTATTAGCAATCAGTGTTATGCATATAGTTTTCTTTTAAAATTAACTTTTAAACATACATAAAAATTTTCATAACTAACATTTTATAATTTCATTAACAAATTCCATGCATGACTTTATCATTCATTTGAACTTGTGTAAATACTTTATTGATTCAACATAATATACTTCATCTGGTCCTATTTATAGGGCGGAGAGAGAGAAATTTTTTGGTCCTATTTATAAGTCATGTCATTAAATTTTATCATAAATTTTTTTTACCCTCCATTAAATGTTAGAGAGAAAAAATATATTATTGAAATGTGTTTATTTAATAGGGACAAAGTTGAAAACTTATTAATTTTTAAGATAAAGTTAATAAATTTTAATGTTTTCCTTGATACTAGTGAAATATATTGAAAGTGGCTTATAAATAGGATCAGGGGAGTAATTCCACATGACAAATTGATCAATTAAATCAAAATTATCCAATAAAGGAAACATTCCTCGCTAAATTTGGTTTACTAACAACAAAACAATAAAAAATGGCATTAATAAATTTTTATAAAGAAAATTTTTTTGGTAAATTAATCGAGACGCTACTCACTTATCTAAGCTTAAAATAATAATTTGTTTATTCTAAAGTATATCTCTCTCAATCTCCCCTAGCTACTCTATTACCTAGACCAAAAAAAAAAAAAACCAAACAAACAACTTCTTTAATGTTGACTACTTCATACAGCTCCAATAAACATTCATTTCCTCCACAATTCTTTCCAATACACAAAGTTATAATATTCCACTAAAACATACTTTAAATAAATAATACATTTATTTACATATGCACTAATCTCTTCCCAACATCTAATAACTTGAATCCATAGCATTTATTTTAATATATTTGAAGGTTTAAATAAATACAATAAGCTACAGGTCAAAAAGAAATAATTAAATAAACAATCTTCATAAATCTTATATCACCTTCCAACACTTACATCCCAACTTGCAATGGAAAAATTGAATAACTTCTATACTAAAATGTAAATGACTCATTACCTATACTTAGTTGTTCAATTAAATCAAAATGTAATTTCTCCTCCAACATTTCATCAAACACTTTATGTGCATTCTAAAATCAAATCTTACACAAATACCAAAATTTATAAATCGTCAACCATACAACTTTCAAGCATCAACATGCTCTTAAAAAAATTTTTTGGATTCAATTTCATAACAATATTCAACTTGGTATGAGAGCAAAACATAGTTTTGATTGCAAATTTTAGTCTTTAATACATTGAATATATTTAACTACTCCATTTCAACCCTTCTACATATTTTAACAAACATCTTGTGGGCACCAATGTTTAAACAAATACCTAACTTCTTCATCTTCAAAATTCCAACCAATGTTTCCCTTATTGAAACTTGAATTTTTCAAGTTTCCTAAATCTCCTCTCTTCAACACAAGCCAAATTCCCATCAAACAAGTAAGCTTAAAGAAAAATTCAAACACAACATCTACGTCTTATTTTCATAGGCTAAAATTTTTAGCTTGATTTAAAGGCCCCTTTTCTGTCAAACACCCATAGCAACATCATCAACAATAAAAAAAATAAAAATACAACACAGCATCTACCTCTTATTCTCATAGGCTAAAAATTTTAGCTTGATTTAAAGGCCCCTTCTCTCTCTCTCT